CTTCTTACCCCCCCCCCCCCCCCGCGCGCCCATGGTCTAACCACTAAGGCATGCAAAACATAAGTATGCCCCCCCCCCCCCGCCCCATCCCCATATCGCAAACAGGTGGTCGATAACAACGACGACATCGAATCAGAAGATGACAATGACTCCGCAGACGCGGCCGCGGGAGCGGAGGCGGAATTGGAGGCCTCTCCTGAAGAGACCGATCCGGACAACCCGTCGGACGCAGACCCGCCGTTCACCACCACACCATCCCCGCAGAGCACCCTGCCACCAGCAGGCGTCGTTGCTCAGGCACGAAGAGCCCCTTCCTCCTCTCCACGCATCGGGGCCAGCGGGCAGGAGCCACTGAGACGAACGGGCGGAGAAGATAGTGCAATAGACCCTGATGCCCCTTTGGTCTCAGCGAGACGTGGTGGTGGTCGTGGTGGTGGCAGTGGGAGCAGCGAGGCTGTCGCAGAAAGTGCTTTCGGTGACGCTACGGCGCGCAATCGAGCAAAGCACGAGCAAGGCGGGGATGGGGAAGGAGCGGGGGTTGGAGAGAGCAACAAGACCAACCCTTGGGCCGGGATAGAGTGGGGTCAAGGAGAAGGGGAGAGCGGCGACACGGTGCGGAGATGGGGGAGAGTGGTACAAGAGGTAGACGGTTACGGCTCGAGCGAAATAGGGGCAAACGGCGACCTAGAGATACCGCCGACTACGGGGGACGCAGGGTTGGGGGGAAGCGGGAAAGAGGAAGGGCGCCGGTCGTCGACGAGTCTCGGCAAGGCAGGAAGTCGAACCGAAGCGACGGGCGAAGACGGTGGTCAGGCAGCAACAGCTGCAGTGGCGGTGGCGGCCACGCGGGCGAAAGTCACGACAGGGGAACCACCTCCGCCGTCGGGACGGAAAAGCAGGAAGGAACGGCGACGTGCCTCCGGTTCGCGCGCTCCGAAGGCGTTGGCTCTGAGCGGTGAGTTGTATGTAAGCTTCGAAGTGCTCTCGTCAAGGCCCAGTCGTCGAAAACGTTATGGAGTCTTCACGTCGGGCGGTGCATATACAGGAATTATGGCTACCACCCCAAAAATTTGGCTTTCGTCTTTGTCGTCGCAAGGTACCTCGGCCTTGCAGCGAGCGACAAATGTGACGGTGTTGGCCGCGAGCAACGTGACAACCACCGAGGCGTCCCCCGCTGGGTTCTTTTCAATCCACGATGCTTTCCTTTTATGCTCTTTGCCCCCCAAAAAGGAAACCGTGGGAGAGGTGGGAGCGAGCGCAGTATCGTCGTACGGCAACATCGTCCCCGCGGCACCTTTGGAAACGGCGGGAGCAATGACGATGCCGCCCGGCGCGCATCCGACGCAGCATTGCAGGTAAACCTTGACACCACCCGATGACAAAGAATAGAGGGTCAGGGAGGAAGAGGAGCATGGTTGAGGTACGGCCGTGAGACCTTGCAACTGACGCTTGAAACGACAGCGGAATACCACCTTACCGATAATTGCAAAAACTGTTGCCCTACTCAAGCGGCATGGAAAGCATTTATTACCACCTCTCTTCGCTCCACCCTCTCCCACTCCACTCGTGAAGGCCGCGTCGAACGTTCTAGCTGCGTGTGCCAGCAACAGCACTACCGGCGGCCCAATAGGCAAGCCCCGACGTCGCGTTCGCGCCTTGCCGGACAACGGCCATTTCACCCCAAACAGCGGCAGTGGTAGCGGCGCAAGCCGCAGCAGCGCCAGTAGCACCAGCAGCCGAGGGGGCGCCAGCAGTGGTCGCAGTCGAGGGGGCGGCAGTAACCTAAGTTTCCGCGGTGGAATCGCAAGCGGAACATCGCCCACGGTGGGGACCCCGGAGTCAGCACCCAGATCGGGCTCGAGCCTGGTGGACTCAACGCAAGACGGGGGGCGGGGGGGGGGCGGGGGGGATGTTGCCACGGCGGGGGTCGTCAAGCGAGGTGGCAACCCGAGATGGCTGAGCCCAACCAACATCACCACTGGTTCCGGGGTGGGAGGGGCCGAGGTGAAAAACAGCTGTGTCTTCCTGTAACATTGGCTCGTTCCAAAGCGCCGAAGAAGTCCTCTCACTGCACGTGTTCCGTTTTGTCGTGGCAGAATTGTTGCACTGTACTCTTGTGTTCATTACTTTGGAACCACAAAGACTTGTTGACAGATCGATCTCTGAACCTCTTGTCGTACTCGGTACGATACGTTTGGCCAATTGCATGTGATCTCGCGTTATCTACGGGTGTCGCTTCCGTCCCAACACCAAAATGCGTGTTGGGGGACCGGCTCTGCCACGGACGGCACCCATACACATACCCGTTTCTGTTGCTGCTGTTGCTATCCTGATGATGCTCTTACCTTCACGCACACAAACTGAAAACAAACGTGTTGACCTCTACCCAACGAACCAGGGCGATTGGAGCGAGCGCGGGAGTCTTCCTTCAAACTTTGTCCAACGAGTAGGTTCTGTCCAGCAATCTCCCTTTCACGAGCGCGACAACAGCGACGCAGTGCGCTCCTCTCGACAGCAAGCCGAGGTCGGTGCAGCTGCACCGGAAATCGGAGTATTCAGCGGGGGCGGGGGCGGTGGTGCCAAAGGCTTGACAAGCAGCGGCGATGTCGTCGGGGGTTTGCGGGGGCGCATAGTTAAAGGCCGCGGAGTGATCGCCGTTGGTGTAGGCGGGGAAAGGACGGCGGATGAAAAGCCAACCTCCGTGCCGGCCGCCCTTTTCGCGCTGCCGGTTTTAGAGGATGGTGGTGGGGGCGGCACCAGCGGAACTGGGGCGCGGGGAATGGGCGGGCGGAAGATACAAGCATAGGATTTGGCCGATGGACGTAGTCGAGTGAGGCAGAGCTTGACTCGTACCGCCCTTCATCAAGTCATCCCTGCAGCTCCGCTGAGCAGATCGATCAGACATATACATGTAGTGTGCAGGACGTGTTTTCCAGTTTAATTGCGTGAAGGGAAAATGCGTACGCGTTAAGTTTAGAAATTAGATCGCATCATACAAGCGAAGCCGTCTTGAGGTCTGAGAATGAAACCAATCTCATTTGTCAGTCGGTATTGAAGGGTGTTATTACATGGTCTTGTTTGCGACGGCGTCCTGGGAGAAAGCGACACATTGTCGTGTATCCGTGTCTGCATATGTGTGTGCGTGTGTGTGTCAGTTTGAACTGCGAGTTGACCACGCCTTTGGAGCTTGGAGCTTGAAAGCGGGGACTAACCACCAACTCACGTGAGTTGCGAAATAAGCCGCCCATACCTGCGGTGGGCCGTTGAGAAAAAATAAACTTTGTACTCGGAGTGATAATGGAGCCCGTTCTGTCCAACAACCCCCAGTATGGGCAAGCCCTTTCCTGCAAGCGGTAAGCAACGCGATATAGACGATTTTCACACAAGCATTGATACACCAAACAGTGAGTGAACCGCCACAACAAACACCCTTTTGGTAGTCGCTGCCCCTTAGCAGATATCGCCTACTGCCACCCTGTTTCGACACCTCACTATGCAGTGCACCCGACACCTCCGACAGTGGGAAAAGAGGGCGCTTTCGTTACAACTTTTCAAGAATCCGACACTCTTTCGTACCGATGTCATCGCCCCGCCTGACCTCTGGTCCGCAAAACAAGACATGGTCACCCACAACGGCACCAATAAACCAACCGCGCGGCATAGAAACAATCCTCCACAAACACACACACAAGTCAACTCAATCGCTCGAAGACGGGGCTGGCTCTCTCTCCCCTACCGCTAGCCTTGCGAAGCCTTCCAAGGTGACCGTGCCACCGACCTCCTCTCCCAGGCTCGTAAGGTGGTCGGCCACCCTCGGGTTCCCCTCGGCCACCATGTGCGCCTGTCTAGTCAGGGCGTTGGTCTCCAAATACTTTCTCAACCTGTTGTTTTTTAAGGGCGGTAGGTGGGGCGGGGAGTTTGAAAGCCGGTGTTGTGTGGTCCGACCCAACTCATACCTTTTCATGCAAAAGCGGGAAAATCGTGCATTGTATGCTTCCCAACAAATGGCTCGTCTGTGCACTTAAAAAAACGGTTCCCGTCGCGAAAAACTCCCTCTCGCCATACCACTGCTGCCGCCATTCCTACACCCTGCCATCGAGAGCGTAGTGTCTTGCCCCCCCCCCCGGTTGAACTTTGAACAACCGCAACCGCAACGAAACGTTCCACCAAGGGTTTCAGCATAATCGCGAATATGAGTGCTTCTTTGCGGTCGAGCCAAAAAATCAACTTTAATTCGACCCCCACCCACGCATCTCATCCCCTCGCCCTACCACCACCACCACCACCACCACCACCCCGACCTACCTGCCCTCGACCATCTTGCCCAGAACCTTGGGGTCCTTCCCGCTCTCCTCGGCCTGCTCGAGAAGAAGCTTCTTCTCCTTCTCCAGCGCCGCTTCCGGCGCGGAGGACTCGTCCAAGAACGCCGGCCTCGCCGCGACCACGTGCATGGCCAGAGACTTGGCGCTCGCGTCGAGGGTCTCCGTAGTAGCGGTGTCTTCGCCTGCTGCGGTGGTGTCTGTCGTACGGATCGCAGCAGAGATTGGCACCCAGAAGGGACGCGTGCATGGGTGCGCCGCAATTGCGTGAGTGCCTGCCAGCAGGTTGGTGCGGGGGTGTTGCCTACTTCGCAAAGTGCCGACGAATTGTTCGGTCCGTACAAGTCAAATCGCCAAAGTCAAAAGTTCAGGAAGAATATGCCACAGCAGTCAAGGCCTCTTGCCCTCCTCTTTTTTGGAGGGAAAACGTGGCTTTAAAAAAAAAATGATGGATGCGGACGTGCTGCGAAAAGTGGGCAGGCGAGACCCAGACCGCTTCTGTACCCATTTGTTGTTGGTGAACCAAACGCAAAAACACTACTGCTGCTGGCCGTATATCCGATAGCATTCTGGGACCGCCCGCTAGGCGGCTGCTGCTGCGTGCTGCTCGCCGTGCCCATGAGACTTTACGGCAGGATACAAGACTCACCGAGCTTTAGAGCCACGAGCGCGGCGTTCTTGCCCATTCCGGGCAGTCCCGTTGCCCCGTGCACATAGCCGGCCACCACACCCTTCCCGTCGCCACCCAAGGACACCACCTGCCTCAAGGAGATAGATAGTACCACAGGAGACGGATAAGAGACGCGGCGGGGGGAGGGGCAGGGGCAGGGGCAGGGGGGAGGCAGCAGTTATTGCGAGTGTTGTCGCCTCCACGCCACACACGTGCATTCTCTTCAGTAGGAATTATTATAGCTCCTGCGTGTCGAGCATGTCACGGTAGCAAAGGGTGCAGGTCATCCCTTTGGTGCACTCGCCTTTTCTCGTCCGAAAGGTACGGAACGCCCCTTCCCCCGCCCGCCCCCTACCTAAAGCATTCGAGACTGACATGCAACCGATTTCACGTGGGATGGTACCGCGTATTGTGCTCTCACGTGTGCTCTACTGATGGTGATGTTTTCTCGGATGGCTCCAACCAGCTGCGCCAGCGTGTCCGCCAGCAACTCCCCCGATCCTGGAGAAACAAAACACGTATCATAGGTGGTAAACACACATGCCGTTACCACACGCACGGAGGACAGGACCGAGGCTTGATACACCAAACTGAGCCCGTTTCTCTTTTCGCCGAGCAACCGCGGTTTTTGGGGTTAGAGGTCTATTAGACACACGGCACATCTAGAACAATTGACAACCAAACAAATCTTATCCCGGCTTGCACGACAAACTGTCAGCGACAGAACAATCGAAGTGTATCAAAGATAGCAACACCTTCCAATCTGTAGCTCCGAGTAAAATCAAACAAAACAAAACCATCACCGCGTCGGGCTAACCTGGGTGGTCCTCCCGAAGAAGCTCGCTCACGTCAAGCTCTCGCGAAGCCGGGACCTCCGTCCCCCCGGCCGCCGCCTTGGCCTTCTCGAGAGCAACATCCAGGGCCTTCTTTACGAACTCCTGGAACTTTGCGTTTCTAGCCACGAAGTCTGTCTCGCTGTTCACCTCCACGAGGGCGCCGTGGGGTCCATCCACGCGCAGACCGATCAGGCCTGGCGCAACACGTCAGCACAAGAAAAGACATGCGCGACCGTTATGAGGCCGCCGCCCCCGTCGTCTAGCTGGAAACCAGGAAACCTTCTATTGGTTAGGCCCGGAGTACCCATGGGTAAGGCCGGGAGTACCACTCCCGGGAACGTGAGGTTTTCAAGCACTATGTAAATCGTAAATACACGAGAGGAAAGAAGCCGCTGCACGCATGTCTGAATATTACAAGGTCTGATAGACGGTGAGCCGAGACTACGGTGGGTATCGCCCGATATTTTTGCGAAGGTGTCTTTCGGCAGCGGCAGCGGCGCAAAATCTGTAAAACTCAACCTTGCAACGACCCAGCTTTTAATACGAACAAGTTTGCCTATTTAATTCTTCCTGCTTTCTTGCAGGCGCGATCGCAACGATGGTATCCTAAATACAGTGGCGCAAATAGCATGCCTTCGTTGGCGGATCTGTCGGCCATCGAGGTGGCCTTGGCGATACCCCTCTTCCGGAGCCATTGGAACGCTTGCGCGATGTCGCCGTTAACGCCTTCCGCCTGATTATCCACGAGAAAAGTGCAAGGGCGTGGACGCGGGGTGGAAGCAGAAGGCGTGTCAAAGAGCACGAGGCCGGGGGGGGCGTGGGGGGGGCTCTGAGCCACGCCGCCAATCACCCCTCGGGATACTGCTGCTGTGCGGCACTACTATCAACGAGTGAAGTCAGTCAAAGCAATGCTTAGGTTGGTGCAACCACTGGTTGCTCACAGCAGCAGTAGAGACAAACACCGGGGAGCGAGGGGTGAGGTTCGTTGTTCGCCACAGGGCAGATATGCTACGGTACTTGTACACCTGGTAAATGCGTGTACTTGGCCCCAACGGAGGCTGCTGTGCACAGCACGGTACATGTGGTGGTACGTTTCAGGTGCAGATTTGTCACCAGCCACTCGTTCGCGTCTACCTAAGAGTATTGCTGCTTATGCTGTCTCTTTGCCACGTTGTAATCTTTTGCTGCCTCTCTACCCGTGTCCTGTCTCGCTCTCGACCCGGCTCTCTACTCCTCTCTCGGTGCGTCCTGCCGACCTGCTCTGTGCGCGAAGTCCTGGCTGCTTGAGGTCCCTACAATACGTTGCTACAACTGAGGACCAGCATCACAGACTTCTCCTGCCTCTTGGGCACACGCACTCACCGCTAGGGCGTTCTTGCAGTCAACGACTGGAGCGCCGGAGGCTTCCCGCAGCTCCTTGATGAGAGCCATGTCAGGCTTCCCCGCTCCTCCGGCCTTGTTGGCCATGCTCAGAGCGCGCACGGAGGCAACTCCGGGCGTACGGCGCCAGCAGAGGGCAGCTCTGCCGCTCGCCCTCGAGATCACGTGAGGCAACAAGGACATCGTGGTACTGGTGGAGAGATCTACACACTCGTGTGCGTGTGCGTGAGAGCGTGTGGGCTTGCTTACGCAAGGTGAGTGAAGTGTGATGGCGTGTGTGAGAGAGAGAAAACGGAGACCGTCGATCCAACACATGCCGCTTTTTGACGCGCCACTGGACTGTGCGAATTTGGTTCCAAGAACACGCCTCCTTTCAAAGTTACCCCCCGACCACAGGGCGGAGAGGTCGGTACCGTTGGGCAAAGGAGGTCCTCTAGCGATGCCAAGACGGTACCTCTAACAGTGTGCATGCATGCTGGTGGGGTATGAACAGACGTCATCCGTGTTGAGCTCGCCACAAACCGGCTCACTCAACCGCGGGCGGGCTGCGCGGTTGCATAATTCCCGGCTCTGAAAAATACAAACGACCGTTTCATCGGGGATCAGGCACCAGAAGCAGGAACCAAGGGCGGGTCTCTCTCTCTCTCTCTCTCTCTCTCTCTTCTCTCTGCATGTAGAGGGTGCAAGGCCATGACTGGTGGGGACGAAGGGGGTTCTTCCGCCCTCGGAGCCTTGAGCCGGAACTGGCGCTCGGCGCTGGTGGTCAATGGATTGTTCGACGCTCTGGAAGAGACGGAGAGGCAACGCGACGAGCTGGCTCACAACTTGAGGTGTCACTACGTTTTTTCTGTCTCTGCTGGTCTTTGCCGCAGCCCAGAATCTCTTTGCTCGTTGGAGCACGATGAAAGCTCTGTAGACCGCCCCACCTCTCTCATGAGGTAGCGGGCACCCGCATTATTGGCAATGTAGTTCCGTGTTGAGGGCCTAAAGTAGACGCAAAGGTCATTGGCCGGACCCGAGGAACCCAGCAGACAAGCGGACCAACACATGATGATTAGATTATTAGGTTTCCCTCCACTCACTGAAAAGACTCCACCACATCCCGTTCGACTGTGGGTATATCTCGAATGGGTAGTCTTTCTGTGTGTGTTTTTATTATTCCTTAATTATTAGATCTGACCTCGTCCTGACTGGTCTTATCGCGCGCGCGAAGTGAATCCAGTATCGACCCGTTGCATTTTCCCCAGCTGGCTGGCCGGGTGCCTTGTGTATGAGTTCTGACTCAGGTGGTTTCAAGTTTCATCCGGTGCATCCGCCCTGTTCATCGCTCTGTTGCCCTCCTCTCAGCAACACTGCACACTGCTGTCAGTTGGGCATATTTGCGTGTCGCACCTTTCCCTTTCCCAATCCTGCCCCGAGATGATGACCCTCTCCCTTCCCCGACCTTTCAACCATCCAACCAACCGTTGCGGGAGCAGTAGGCGCGACCAAGGGCCACCGCTTTTCGATGCTGCCACCGAGAACAACAACGCCGATGGCGGCGGCGACGCTTGGCTGCCACCCGACAGAGATAGCACCAGTGGTGGCGAATGGGAGCCCAGAAAACGACAACCACCCCTGCTCCGGCGCTCTCTGCTCGGGCCCTCAGCGTCGCCACGGTCGTCTTCACCGCCGCCGCGGCCGCCGAACCCTGCCATTGCATCTGCGACGCGAAGTGGCCGCCGGGAGGAACACAACGGCAGCCGCCGGCGTGTCCTCACAAATAGGGAAAGCGATAATCGGCAACACCCGACGAGAAGAAGACCGGAGGCGAGGAACGGCAGCGACGACGGCGACGGCCTCTTGTACGACACTGCGGCGGGTGCCGAGCAGATGTCCCCGCTGCCGCCAACGCGAACACAAGGCGGCGGCACGCCTGGCTTTCGAGATAACCGAGAAGGCAACGGCGGCGGCGGCGGCGGTGGTCACACCGCAAGCACTTCGCGCGCGCGCGGGCGGGCGCTCTCGGGAGGGCGGGGCGAGGAGGAAGGAGAGAGAGATGGCCCCGGTCTGTCGGCGAGGGTCTCCGTGGGGTCGGTGGCCGGCGAGTTGAGGGGCGGGGAGCTGGAGCGAGTGCGAGGGAGGGTGGCCGATCTCGGTGCGGCAATAGAGACGTCTCAGGTGATGCCCGGTGTTAAACAGATGGCAACCCGGTACATGCAATAGCAGTACATACATACCGGTATCCACCGTGGCCCACGCTCTCCGCCCCCTACCCCACATTGACTTCGTTAGCTGCAACGGTGATGGCATACGTGGGAGGGCACTCCGGCGTACGGGCTTTGAGCATACCCTAACCGAGCGCATTTCCGACTGGCGGTTTCATCACCCACCCCCGACGTTTTGGTGCCGTGCTGCAACCCGATATCCCATTCCATCCTCTCATCGTCAGAATTGTTAATAGTCAGACAGTTGAAAGTGTGCCATTTTTTTGTCTCCCGCGAAAACAACCTGCACTTTTTTTTAACCCAAAGCACCCCTTCAACCGCTTCACACTTTTATGAATCTGAAACAGTCCAAGCTCCTGCGAGAGCTTTCTCAAGTGCAGGAGGATTTCTTCTCCAGCTTCGGCTACGCGACCCCACTCGGAGCCAGCGCGGCGACGAGCGCGGCGATCAACGGCGGCACAACCGCACCCGACCTCGGCGGTGGTATCGGTGTCGGCAGCGTTGACGGCTTCTCGTCCGCCCTCTCGTCCATCCCTCCGTTCGCGAGCGGCGGCGGCGGCGGCGGCGGCGGCGCTGGCTCGCACGGTTACGTCGGCGGCAACACCTTCGACCGCTCGCGCTCACCCCGCTGGGGCGGGAGGAGGGCGGGAAGCGGCGGCGGGAGCGGAAGGGTAGCCACCTCCGTCTCCCCCCGCGCTCGGCCGCCGCTTCTGCGGCGCGATCTCGACGAGACAGCGGAAGAGGAAGAGGAATATAAGGCCGAGGCCCGCAGCAGCGGCAGTTACCACCGCGGGGGGACCAAGATTTCCAGGGGCAGAACCGGTGGAAGGGATAGACGGGACGGCGCAACGGCGGCGGCGGCAGCGGCGACGGTGGACGGGGCTTCCTACGCGTTCCCGATGGAAGCGTTGTCGTCGTCGCCGCGACAGGGCGGCAGGTCGGCGGGGCGAGGAGGAGATAGGCCCTTTAGTTCGTCGTCCGCAGGTCCTGCTCCAAGAATGAGGAGGAGCTGGAAGAGCTTGTCGCCTTCTCCCCGCACCGCCGCCGCCCCCGCGAAAGGTGGCTGGCCGGTGGCGGCCGGAGCACTCGGTAGTGCCAGGTGAGACGCCTCGCCCGCAGGCGTTTTGGGGGACTGGCTTGGCTTGGCTTGGCTTGGCTTGGCTTGCCCACGGAGTTCCACCAGCGGCAACGGCGCGTTCGAGTTTTCAGCGGTAGTATTGTTGTCTGTGCCGCATGTGGACGCGCTTGATGTTTTCTTCTTTCCATGTCTTCTTTAGTCGTCGAAGTAATTACCGTAGTGCTGTAGTGTTCCGATTTCTTTTTGAATTGCTGCTGTTGCCGCAGCACGTGTGCCCCTGTTACGATTACACGCGTGGTTAAACCAGATAAGACAAATAATATTGATTTGTTCACGCCGGGGTTTCTCTCCCCCCCACTTCGTGTACCGTGTGTGTGTAAGACAGGCGCTCTTACATTCAGAATGCCGGGGTGGACGAGCTGAGGGATCGCTTGCTAGCAGAACTGGAGGCGAAGGAGGAGTTGGCGAGGGTGAGGGCTGTGGGGCGTCGCTGCTTCGGGCAACAAGCCCCCCACCTCCCAATCTCTCTTGTTGGCCTGGTTTGTTTTGCAACGATTGCTGTGTACGGTAGAATTTTTGTCGGTCTTTTGCTGCTCGTCAGTTCTGTATTTCACGGGGAAGACATCTGACAGCAAGAGAGTAAGACCGAAAGCTGCGCCATGTATCGATACGTTACACCAAGAGATCGGTGCCGCGTTGCCATCATTTAGTCGTGTTTAAGCCCCCCCCCCCCCTTGGACGGCCCCATGGACTATGCGAAAAAGCTGAAATTGCAATTTCGAGTAGGCGATCTGGACTTGCCAGAACGGAGGAAGAGGTATACCAGCCGTAGGAGAGAGGAAGAGGAGGATAGACACACATGTCCATGTGGCAAATCGGAGGAGAGTAGACCCCACATAGTTGGGGAGTGTGAGTTGTACAGGAAGGAAAGAGAGGATCTCGAGGAGGAAATGAGACAGAGAGGGTGTGACATGGACAAGTTTGGTAAATTAGACAACAGCGAAAAAACGATCGCGATAATTGGGGATAGATGGTGGGCACAAGAGGCCCTAGAGGACGGGGATAAGATGTGCAAGAATTTTTTATGGAGTTTGTGGCAGAAACGTAAAGAGCTCCCAAATGTTGGTGGTGTCTCTAGTAGGTGTAGGAACGGTGCTCCGTCTCGAAAGGGACGCGTGGTCAATGGTCAAATGACTACGG